CCTAAACCCTAAACTTCCCAAACCCCTAAACCCTCACACCGCGCCCTGTTTTCTCAAGGACTCGGACCTGGACCTGCTTAGCATGAACGATGGTGCAAGGATCAAAGCTTCTTGGGCCCCCAACGGCTTAAGATTTGACGTTTCTGTCATTTTCTGGGTTTGGGTTTAGGGGTTCAGGGGGTTTGGGATTCAGAGTTTTCTTCCAGCTAAATCCAGTACCAAAAAAACCCTACCCCCTGAAACAGTTCGAGCTGATGTGGCGCACGGAGCGCGGGAGAGGAATTCCAACACCTATTGATCAAGATAGATTCTCAGAGCTTCCAAACTTCTTTTTCTTCTTCTTGCTTCAGCATTCTAGCTCAAGAGCGCATATCCTGAACCCTGAAGGTTTTGGGCCTAGTTTCGGTTTTGGAAGAGGCTTCAAGAAGCTATATCCAAGGTTTCCTGCTTAAACGGTGTATGGGTAGCTCTCTAAAATGGGGTCCCCATGGGTCCCCTTTTGAGGTCTCCAATATAGCACGGCACCCTTATACAAAGGGACCCCCCGAACGTACACCAACATAAGAGGGGAGTCACCTCCTGGAACAGGCCGCAACGCTGCGGAAAAAAAACTGACAGTAGCATTAATTGCAGAAGCGAGTAGCGATAACAAAACGCTCACAGCAAAATTTCACCAGAAGCAGCTTTTACTTCTACTGCAGCTACAACAGCAGCAACTACTACTGCAACTACGACGGTGCTGAGGACGGCTACAAAAACTAGCACACAATCAATGTAGCAATGCTTGTTAATCATACTATTGACAACAATAGCACAAACTATCGCATGGAGCCTTTTATTTTTGATTTTTGGGGTGCATGAACCATAAAAGGCGGCACTGTGGGGTAGATTGTTACAGTTGCCATTATGGCTTGCCGAGCAACTAATCATGAATATAGTTGGTGTTGCTCAAACTAAAACTCTGCAATCACCGAATTGAAGAACCCCACTACAAGCGTATATTCCATCAGTGTGGCTTCGGTTGCACGTGTCACTGTTCAGGGTATCTCAGTTTTTAGGACTTCATGTTGCCCTTTGCGGAATCAGCAGCATCGTTTCCTCATGGGATGTGACGCTTATGGATGCCCTTCGAGATAGAGGTGGAGTTAGAGAGGCTGAAAGCTAGCACACTGACACTCGAAAGTAGGATGTAGCATCATCATACTGTACTACTACTGCTACTGCCTCCGACGATGTATGCCTGGATGAGGAGGACGACGAAGACCACTACGACGACTATTGCTACGTCTACTATTCTACTGCTATTTCTACTTTGCTCTTTCTCGTACTCCTCCTCCCCCTACTACTACAACCACTACAACTACCACTACTACCATTACTACCACTACTACCACTACTACCACTACTACCACTACTACCACTAATACCATTACTACCACTACTACCATTACTACCACTACTACCACTACTACTAGTAGTAGTAGTANNGTGGGGGTGGCGGTGGCGGTGGTGGCGGTGGCGGTGGTGTGGTGGTATTAGTGGTAGTAGTGGTAGTAGTGGTACTACTACTACTACTGCTACTACTACTACTACTACTGCTACTACTACTACTACTACTACTACTACTGCTACGACTGCTACTGCTACTGCGAATGCTATAGTCTTTAGAGCAATAGGGTTTTTGGGGTGTGGTTAAGTTTCACTATATAGGGACTACGAGGGCATTCTTACTAGTCACTCAGACTTCTGTACCAGGCGTTTCGGCTTCGAAAACTATGGTTTAAATCCCACCCAACTCCTCCAAGTTCAGAAGTCTAAACCCTAACCTCGAAACCCAAAACACCCTGCCCTAAACAGACAGTTTTAGGGTTTTAGGGTTTAGGGTTTAGGGTTTTGGGTTTTAGGGTTGAGGGTTTAGGGTTTTTAGGGTCTCTCCCCTGGACCCCAATCCTTGCAAGAACCTTCTAAGAAGCCTTGCAGCCCCCTCAACCAAGCAACAAGCCAAGGCATATCCGATCAAGCCGCTGGAACTGGATGGGGTTGTCCGGGTTTGGGCTTTTTCGGTGTACTATGGGGGCCGAAATATCACCAAGACTATTTTGGGTGATTCCGTATTAGAGTTATAGTTAAACACCCCAAAACCCATTTCAAATCATTAAGGCATCTATATTAGGTGTTGCAGAAATGCCGTTGCATCATCAGAAGCCCCTAGGACTTTGAGCAGCACTGAGGCCTGAAACCATGCTTCCCGACACCGCGACCTACAACCTTCGACAACCCTGAGTCCACATGGGTAGTTGTCTAAATTAGGGTCCCTTTTGGGCTCCTTTTTATAAGGGTGCCGCACTATATTGGGGACTTAAAAGGGACCCTAATTTAGACAACTACCCACATCCAGACCTCGCTACTAACCCGTAAATCCTAACGCCCTGGCCTAAAAAGCCCTACACCTTGAAACACCAAAGCCCCAGACCCTAAAACCCGACACCGTAACTGCTGCAGGCCTGAACTCCCAAGCCGGGGCTATACCCTCTAAGCTTCCAGCTCTAAACCCCAGGACCCCATACCCCCTAAACTAAACCGTGCATGCCTTAGAGTAAGTTTTACGGCCATGCCACCGGAACTTCAACCTGAACCCTAAGCCCCACACCCAGTCAGGGAAAGGCTGACTATGTCTCCCAAGGCCTTTTTCCTGAACCCCAAGCCCTAATCCTAAACTCAGACCCTAAACCCTAAGCCCCAAGTCCTAAACCTAACCCAGACCCTAAACCCTAAACCCTAAAGGCCTTTAACCCTAAACCCTAAACCCAAAAGCCTTTTAAGCTTATATCTTAAGGATTAGGGAAAAAAAGCACAGTAAACTCCCCGAAGCCTAGCAGTCCTACTACAAGAACCCTAAACCCTAAACCC